TATGATATTGTATTTAATTTGTCATGGATTGAATTGTATGACAATCGTGCGTATATACACAGACACTATATATATATATATATAAATAATCTATGGATTGAGATATATATAATTTAATAAATGTATATAGTAGCTTTGCCATGAATGCATGAAGCACATAAATAATGTAATAATGTAATTCTTTTAACTTTGGACCAAGCAAATAGCTGATGCTGAGGTGACATTTTTTAAAACACTTTCTTCTCCTGTTGTCATTAATAGACATGGGTGCAGTGTATTTTCAGGACCAAAACTATTCCCTAAATATATACAAAATTTCTCCAAAAATTATTGCATACTAGTACACAAAATAAAATAGTAATTTAGGAATGAATTAATTATTATTATTATCATTCACATTAAATCATACAAATAAATAGGTCTAACATATAATTTGCCATGCAATACTAAACTGATAAATTAATATAAACATTTTTTAAATTAACACTATAAATACCAATGAAGTCATTTCTGACCCATTTATCTGTTTAATCATCTATTAAAGCTTTAATTATAATTTTAGATTTTTTGAATTTTATGAGTTTTTCTAAAATTTCAATTGCTATTTATAACAAAAGAATCAAGACCGAGTAAGCATTATTCTTGAAAATACATGCCCATTTACCTATATATGCCAAAAGGGATAATTTTTGATTTTATTGCTTACCTTTGTATAAAATATTTAAACATGCAAGAAAATAGTTCCTTTCAAAGATAATTGTCTGAAAGGAACTGTATTAGTTCTAGTAATATGCATTTGAAATGTGTGTAAGCTAAAAATTTCTCATTATAATCATCACCAAAAATATTTCCATATATACTTAGTGAAGTGGCATTGGTGTCTTTGATGGCACTCTGTCAATATCAAACTGATCATATTCAATATTTTGGTGATATTGTGAAATTTCTTTCAAAGATAGGTTTTAGCAAGACATTGATCTTATCCATTCAAACACTGTATTTTATGACTAACAAGTCAAAATGTGAGATAAAAATTGTATTTATTGAATATTATTAGGTGAACGTGTCTTTAAATTGACAAAATCATTTCTTGGGAATTGAAAGAAATATCAGTACAGGTAATTTTTTTCATATCTCCACAGATAGCAAAAAAATAATATTGCAGATGAAAAGAACATGTTTAATAGGGACAGTGAATAGAAATAAAATGGAAATTTATGTTTAAGTAAAAAAGGAAAATAAATAATTTACAGTACAAAAATTTTGAAATACAAATAAAGCAATGTTAATAGTTTATGAAAAAAAAAAACAGTAATTTGATTTTCAGCACAATGCATAATGTTATAATTACAATAGTGCAAAAAAATTTCCAGAAACATTTTAATGCTACAGTAATACCAAATACAGACTTGATGCAATGGCCATTGACAGCAAACTCAATGGAAGTGGCATCCAGATGGTGAGATTGCATGTTTTATACTGGTAATATTCTGGATACGGCAGCAATAAACTTGTGGAAATTTTATAAAAAGCATCAGGTAAAACATCAGAATTGCTGGAAATGTATGAAAGGACAGTTTTATCGCCAATTATACATTATTTCCAACTTAAAGAATAATTTTTACATTAGAAATCACAGATAAGTGCAAAAAAATGGTATGTAGAAACTGTTCCAAAACAGTTAACATAATTTTTATATGCAAAATATGACCAAACAAAAAATAAATCTTTTTTCTACTTTAATGTAATTATTACTGTTATTAAACTGTGTTACCATTCAAAAGATCTTATTGGTAAAGCTAAAAAGATTGGCATTTTCACGTGGTTTTTCCATTTCCCATTTTAGCATTTTCTATCACATTTTACATAACATTAAAGTGATGGGTTAAAACTGATACATACAGCAACTCCAGTGCTGTTAACAATTTAATTTGAGCATGTGTTATCATTATAGAATAGCATGTAGAATTATAAACTTTTGTAATATGTTGATTAATAGAAATAAAATTGCAATCATCTCTGATTACATGAATGACCTATTTTTAGCACAGGGTGTTAATTATGTTCAAAACTTTTTGCAACAACAATGGCTGTGCAACTTTTTAATTAAATATTGTTGAGTGTACATTAAAATATTGCTTTTCCTGTTTCATTTCTGTTAAGAAATCATTGTAGATATACATAAACCAAAATAGATATACACAAGCCCATATATTCTATAATTATATTAATTTCCAGATTATTCTCACTATAGTTTGGCTAACCATTAATAATCAATATACAGTAGAGTCTCGTACAATGCAGGAGATTTGTTACACATTATAGGAAATCTCATTATCGAAACCTGCATTATCACACAATTTATGAAAGTTTAAACCTTGGCCTATAAGTTGAAAAAAAACGTATACCTCTGATCGACAAAATTTGAGGGTGTTTGCTTGCTTTATTTGCGCGTTATACGGGACTCTACTGTAAAATCATTTTTTCTAAAGGTAAACAGTTAGACTGCTATCTTACACACTAACATTAAATAATAATTTCAATAAATTTTGAATTAAATTTATGCCCAAAATGATGTTATGCAACTAGAAATAGTGGTGATACAAATAAAAATCACGTTTTGTAATCCTGGCAACATTTATTAAAAAGTTTTTTGTAATAAATACATTGCTAGGATTATGAAGTTGATTTTTGTTTTCATGAAATTAAATTTAATAATTTTATTTAAATAATTATTAAATTAAAAATATTAAATAACTTTCAATCCAAGTGCATGTTAGCAAAGACAATAGCTTAGTACAGTGGCATATACACATAAGCACATGCTTATGTATTGTGTTTGGTAATGTGCATTTGAAGATACCTCATGCATATAATGCATTATTTAGCCTTAGCAGGGTCACTGAGAAATTCACACCATATTTTCAATGTCATTTTGTAGATGTGGATTATATGGAGGTATGTGTTAAGTGAAGATTTTGTTCAGTTCTAGTAATTTTTTTAGAATTGTGGATAAAAATAAAATTAAAATAAATAAATCAAAAAGCAGAATATTTCAATATGGATGCTGGTCATAGCAAGCATAGATTTACATAGATGCATTTCTATAAGTGGACATAATGTTTTTATATTTAATGAATATAGAAAATAAGAATAATGAAGTTTAAAGTCAACGTTAAACATTGTACAGCACATAAACAACTGATTAGATATAAATGAAAGAAGCAAATATTTGATTTTATGCGCTGGAACCTGTTCATTTTTGTTTGTTCCGTTCATTTATTTTTTCCATTTTATAAAAGTTTTATCGAGTGTTCAAATAAAAAGAAAACCAAGATGCTTAATAGTTGTATTAGTTTAGAAAAATATCACAAATATAATTTAATATAAAATTTTATCTTAGAATTTAAAACAAAATTAATATAATTTAGTAATATATACAATTTACTATTATCATACTAATATCAGTGTATTTTATCAAATTAAAAGGAAATTTTGTTAATTTTGAATATTTGTTTTGCATTATTAAATTATTTTAGTTTGATCTCTCATAGGTATTATACATAATTATGTAATTATTAAAAATATTTAAATGATTTAGTAGTTATTAAGTAGACTTGATATGACATGATGTAATGAATCTAATATGAAATGAAAACAACCTTTTAATTCCAGAAAACATATTTAATTTCGTGTTAATTACTACAAAAATTAAATATATTTGCTGGATTTTAAAAGTCTGCTTTTGTTTTATTTAGTTTTTTAACTATTCTCTAGTTAAAATCATGTGACTCCTCTAATATTTTTGATATACATGAAATTTATTGCTAATATACAATCAAATACAATGAGATCAATTAAACTGACACATTACGTAATACATTAAAAATTTTTATCAAAACTTTATAGAAACTTCTTAATAAAATAAAAAAAATATATATTATTGGAGCAAATATAAAGGAATATTATTGTTTTGAAATAGTAAACAAAACTCTTAAGAAGTTTTTTTTTTTCAATAGCAAGTGAAATGGACTCTTTAAGAAGTTCTATTTTTTATTCTAAATATTATTAGTGTGTTAATCATCAACATCAGAACATTTATTATTTAGTTTACCAAAAGTTTGATTAAAAATTTTTTTTTACAGTTTTTAAGAATAAATTATCAAGTTTAACAAAACTTGAAATATTTTTGAACCATTTCAAAATATCAAATTTTATCTTCAGATCGTAACAGATCTACTAAAGAGATTCTTCGAAACATCTTCATATTAACTTATCCAAAATTATAATGAAAGTATTATTTTACTATTGTATTTTATTTAAAATCATAACTATTTATCTCTCGTCTTCTCTGTGTATGTGTTTGTTAGTATTAGTAGATAATATAAAATAAAATAGCATAATGTAAATAATAAGTCAACATAAATAAACATGAAATTGTGATATTTTTGGTTAAGTGGTTTCTGTGATTTTTTTATGAGTTTATTAAGTTTTTTGGATTATTATTTTAAATAATGAATTGTTTGTTTTGTAGATCTGTGAAATATTAATTATTATTCTTCTATAAGATAGTCATTAAAATATTTTATTATTTGTAGCAAGAAATAATTGAACGATTACATTAGTATTTTTATGTTCGAGAAGTCCTTGAATTGTTTGATTTAAGTTTAAGCTGTAGGTAAATGGTGATAATAGTAGGAATAGAAAAATTTATAAAAAATTTTTTTGCTGTTGTTTCTTTTTGACTATTTTTCAAATTGTTTTTTATTTTTTCCTTTTAATATATGAGTAAACTGGATAAATTTCTTTATTTTGCACAAAGTTAATTGAACCAAAACTTCCTAAATTAGAATTGGGAGTTATAAATGAAAGTTCTTGAAGAGTGGGTGTGGCACTTTTGTTTACAATATGATACAATTTATGATAGCAATTACTTTTTTCTTCATTCTTCATTCCTGAATATAACTGAAAAATATTTAAGTAATATAAAAGATTAAGAATAGATATTTGTAAATATAAACTGAATTAGAGTAAAGAAAAATTTATCAGACTTTCACATCTAAATTATTGTAAAACAGTAATAGTTATTATTAGCAATTTCTTTTATTACATCTCTGAGGAAATAACTATTCTTTTATCTATTTTGAAGAATTTCTTTCTGTTTTATAAATATTGTGGTTATATATTAGGGCCCTTTTTTTTATGTAGGATAGATATATGCTAATTTGTATTTTCACAAATAAATGGTTAGTTTAATTCTTAGGTGTACAGGAATAATTCTGACTATCAATGCATACACTGACTATTTTCATTATAAAATCTTGGTACAGCAATTTTTGATGTAACAATAAATCCCTCCATAATGATAAAAAATATACTATATAGGACTGGTATAGAATATAAGATTAGGTTTCAACAGTTAGCAAAAGTATATATTGTTTTTTTTGCAGTTAAGAGAAATATATTTATTAAAGCAATCAGTAATTAACTAACAATCACAATCAAAAATATTGCATGTTAAAATTAATTTTCTCTTCATTGCTAAAAACTGTTAAATGAGGACATTTTTTCTTTTGGCAAAATATTGTCATCATCTGAGTGTTTCTGTAACATCTTAAGTTTTCTCTACTTTTTTCATAAAATCTGATATTTTCATTTGCTTGTGTTTGCCTAATTTAAGGTAAAAATAACATAATTAAATGCCCTAATAGTCAATTAAAACACAAAAACAATAAATAAGATACATAAATATTCTATAATAAAATGAAAATTATATATATTGGTTACACACCATTGACTTTGGCATCTTAACGTATTGTTGCCAGATTCATCTTGTGTACTGCTTTCTTGCTTTGTAATTAGTTCCTTTTTCATCTCAATCATTGATATTACAACCTTCCTCTTAGACTTGGTTGCTTTCAGACACTTCTCGGATGCCATGATTAATGAGTAAAGGCTATATTGGGTTGAAAAGAAAGTTTTGTGTATTTTTAACAGCTCCTCTTGTTTAACGTAGATATGTGATTTAATTATAACAATTATGAAATTTAGCACATTATTGCCAATATCAGATTGTATTCTTTGTTTAGAAGCTTATTTTAAACTTGTTAGTACACATTTTGTTTGAATAAAATCAACTTGGAAAGTTCAGATAAAAAGCATATCAGACATATTATTCTTTGAATTTCAAAGAGGATATAACGTCATACACACAGTAAAAAATTAATATATATGGAGAAGACGCTCTTAATCTTTGAACACGTCAGCTGTGGTTTAATAGTTCCATTCAAGAAATTCCGAACTAAAGGATATAAAATGTACAGTACAGGTTGCCCAAAAGCAGTCAATGAAAAATTACAGGAAGAAATAAACAAAAGAAATAAACTGTTAAAAATAGATAAATAACACATCAAAAATAAAGCAAGAAAAGTACTGAGAACACATGAGAATAATGAAAGAGCAAGAGATGATTTGGGCACACAATAGATTGCATTTATGCTTCAAACACACATTTTTGCTGTGCACACAGTTCAAACTTTGAAGCCTCATTTGAACTCTGAAGTTAATTTTTATGAAATTTGGTGTTCAAACTCAGATGTATATGAAGTTAGTCATTCAGAGTACAAGGTACAGTACCACTGTATTATGTATCTTATTGAAACCACATGTTGAAAATCTAATCAGACAGATTCTTTCATAACTTAAATATAACATTCCATGTAATGTTTTGTTTCCAAACATTCTTTTTAACCTGAAGATGATAGCTCAAAACAACTGAAAACATTTGTGTTATTACAATCTTTGATTTCCTTGTTGGACTTTTGGTTTTATGAGTGATTTATATTTATCATCTGGTATAATGTGTTTTTAATAGACTAATACTACTACATATTTCTGTTCTAATGTCTAATTTTGTAGAAATAACCCTGTTTAGAATCCAACAATGTTAAATGAAGAAAGGGATACTTTTTAAAAAACTTTTACCATAACAGTAATCTCGTTAACATTTTTTCTTCTGTTAAATATCACTAAAGAGGGGTTTGACAGTAAAAACATTTTAAATAAATTTATTGTTTTTCTGTTAATTGTAAATGGTTATATTAGTTTCTAGATAATCAAGCATCTGGAGTTACTTGGAGTAGTGCGCAAAAAATTATATCGACATGCAATCCTGCTTAAAACAAAACTATACTATATTATTGTTAAATTATAAATATTGCCTTAAAATAAGTACCATCCAATATTCATTTCAACATCATAGTAAGTGGTGGAAAAATAATAGAACTAATTAAGAAATGTGTCTTTTCATTAATCTTAGGAAATAAATATATTATTGGAGATATTACTTTAAGATAATATAAAAAATTTGCTAGGTAAATAAAATAATTTATAATTTTAAATTATTAATTTAAATGTTAATATTATCTAAGAGTTTTGTTATGAATATTGTTATTTTAAACAGAGGAAGAAGTTCCTTTCTTTACTTGCTATAATTAGAGAGGTTGAGGNTATCCGTAAAAGAATTTTGTGGATATATCCATCCCTCACCACTGCCACACAATCGCCCTTGACGGATATATCTGTTGGTCTACTACTGATAACTACTGAGTGGTTAATACACAAATTTTGATGATACATTAATTTTTATTGGCAGATACATTCTGACTTTGTTTAAAGAATTATTAACTTGTCATGCTTTTTAGTTATGCTGATAATGATATCTAATAGATTCTATGCTCTTTATAGAGTACTTGCCACAAGGAAGCATTAAACAAGAAATGAGAATGAGTAGTAGAAGATAATTAGAATATACTGTATAATGAAGTGACATTAAATGATATCACATAGTAATAATAAAATTTCTGAGTCTCATTTCAAACAAACATGCTTCATAATGAGAAATTTTACATATTCCAAGAATATAATGTATTTGTGTTTTCTATCATTTACGCTCATATATTAAATAATTTTACTGAAGATGAAATTATAAGTTTGACCATCTTTATATTAATTAAAGGCAAAAATAAATTTAGTGATAGATAATTGTTTATTAAAAGTTACATCGTTGTATTTCAGTCAGGTTGAGATTCTTCATTTGCTGTTAATAAAATACAAATAATGAATTATCTGACTTAACATTGGTCTTGAATTCTGCATGTTAAAGTTGTAGTTGCTGCTTCTAAATAGTCTTTAGAAAAATTAAAAATTATGTGATGATAAATTTTTAAACACTTGATTCATATTATTAAGATTTTTGAAGCTCATAAAATTTCGGTTTTAGATACAGTTAGCATTTAAAAATGAATTATGGAATATCAATGTCACCAAGGAAAGAGATCATTAAGGTGGGTTGATCTCGATCTAAATAGTATATACTTTTAATAAACCAATGGAATTTTACAAAATATTTTTTTATCTCTCTATGGGATAAAGACTGTTAAAAGAAACATTTTTTAAAAACTAAGGAATTCATTAAATGTAAAAAGTGATTCATTTTGTGTAAACAAGTTTTGTTAGAATTAATGTAATGTAATGTTATCTTAAAACAATGAATACAGGGTGTTTATAAATAAATAGTGTGGTTTTAAAAATTAATAATAAATCTATTTATTACCTTAATCTTGGGCATTGATCGAGTTTATGTACCGTCAGTGCCCGTGTCCCTTGATGAACTGTGTGATCGGATAAAGCATGCACTGCAGACCATCACAGAGGACATGCTACACCGCGTATGGGAAGAATTTGATTACTGTGTAGATGTGTGTTGTGTGACCATGGGTGCACATATTGGAGGATTGTGATTAATGCATAAAAAACTTGGACAGTTGCCGCCGCTTATGCTGTAAGGTTTGCCCATATAAGATAATAAATAGATTTATTATTAATTTTTAAAACTGCACCATTCATTTATAAACACCCTGTACTTGAAAAGCTTTGTGTGTATGTAACCGGATGGTTGCATTCATGTAAAGGCAAACTGATTTGACTAATTAATGGAAAATTGCTGAATAACTGAATAACTAGCTTTCTATACATTGAATTTAAATTTTCATTGAAATTTGTAAATTTGACAAACTATTCTTGAATTTAAATATACATAGACTTGAGACTAATATAACACAGATATAATGACGACTGATAGTTTGAAATAAATGAGTCTGCAACATTCTATAACATTAAGATATTTTTGCAGACATATGTACTAACACTCAATCATTCAATATGTGAATGGATGAAAATCCATTAATTTTTATAGGCCTAATTATACTATTGAATATATAGCTATTTAATACATGTATATATTAATAAAAAATTAAAATACAGTTAAACCCTTTTCACAAATTTTTATGGAAACAAAGAAAAATACTGCATAAGTGAGAAAAACATACAGATGAAACTATTAATAGTAATGAATTTCTTTCAGAGTGAATACAGTCATCACAAAAGTATGATTTATTACAAATTGCATGTACAACTGAATTTATACATGCAATTCTTAACAAACAAGTTTAAATTTACTATATGCTCTGTATAATACATTTGAACAATATATAAAATGAAAAGTAAAACAGTATGAAAATAAGTTATGTACTTCAAAAAAAATTGATCAAGTTTTGTTTATTTCTTTTAATGGACTTATTACATACTGTACCAGTATGTGACATCAGTTGTCTTCTTTTGCATAAACTCCTGTCACATGAAAGAATGAAGTCATTCTGAAAATCAGCTGACACTGACAGCAAATAGTGAAAATAAATGAGAAACTGAAAGCAATCTTCATTTGCTTAGCAAATAAAGATTGCTTTCCAGTTTCTCATTTCAAAGATTCCAGTTTCTCATTCAAAGATTGGTTCATACTAGAAAATGTGGAAAGTGAAAATTATCAACATGTTGGATTAATAATGATTTACTAAATGGAAAAGTTTGTTAGAAATGGCATCACGGTAAAGCCATACCAACTGTTGTATAATATTGGGCTATATTCTGACAATAATAAACTGCATTACTGATTAATTTGTCTCTAGAGTGAGGCATTAGGTGCTATCTCTTATTAAATGTAATAATAATTAATTCAATCAGCAGTTGGTGTAGCTTTACAGTAATGAATTGGGTTTTGGAAGATGTTTGTAAATGGCATCACACGTGTATTATTTGCTCCGCTTTTTGCATTAGTTGGCAATTGACTGTCAGTGTGAACTAATCTGAAGTGGATACATAATTTCTTTTTCATTTTTTTTTAATAATCGCTTACAATTTTTCTAGTTCAAAGTCAATAATGCTTAGGTGAGAAATTGCCATAGGGTACTGAAAAATATGATGTATAAGTGCAAAATCAAATAAATGTAAAATGTAAAACTAAAATGTTTTTATAATGGAGAAAATACCATGATAAAATTAATGTACAATTACAAAAAATCTACAACTGAGAAATTTATAAACAGTGTTTGACTGTATTTAAATTACATTACTTTTACTGGAACAAAATCATACATTTATCACCATAAAGGAAAATAGGATTTAAAAAAACCCACTTCATCTACTTGATAATCAGATGATTACAGCATTTATCTAAAATGATTAAATGATTACAGCATTAGATAATTAGATGATACGTGTTCATTACATGTCAACATTAATGTTATTATTTGCTTTTATGCTGCATTTATTTCTTTATTATGTTGCTGCAATTTATTTCTTGTTTGCATAAAAATAAATGTTTATTTATGTCTTTTAATTCAAAATATAAACATGAAACATGCAAAATGTGCATATCGTAATAATACAAAAAAAACATTCATGATAGAAACCTTTATCTTTATATCTTAATTTGCATTTATGATTTAAACCAATATTTTCTGAAAGTTTCCCAGTTGGTCGGTCTGTGCCGTTGATTATCTAAAATACCTTTTTCATGCTAAATGAAGATTCCATATCATATGTAGTGAGTGATTAGAA